ACAGCAACGTCAAACTCAGTTCAAGGGATGCATCTCTTGCCTCAGCCTCCTGAGTAGCTGGGACTACAGGCGCCAGCCACCATGCCTGGCTAACTTTTTATTTTTTAGTAGAGATGTGGTCTGTCTTGTTCAGGCTGGTCTCCACCATCATAGTTGGCCTCCCAGCGTGCTAAGATTACAGGCGTGAGCCAACCCCACCCATATCACTTTTGATTATGGTTCTTACAATCTTTGATGTCTTTGATTGATGGATTTCAGGCTTGACAGCAGCATTTTAAGAATTTAAAATTTCTAAAGTGTGGTTCCTTGAGAGCAGCCAGAGTCAATTTTTTCTTTTTCACTCAGAGCCAAATCAAAAAATGGAGGCCGGTCGTTGCGGGAGAAGTTGGACAAGATTGGGTTGAATCTTCCAGCCGGCAGGCGGAAAGCTGCTCACGTGACTCTCCTGACATCTTTAGTAGAAGGTCAGTGGGGTTTTGTTTTCGTGTTGTGTTTTGAATTTGTGCTGTGACTTTAATACTTTAAAGCTGGAAACCAACTCTTAAGACTCAGTCACAAGGAGAGAGAGGAAAGCAGTTTGAGTTGTATAAGTTCATTGCAATGAATCAGAAAAATTTTCTCAAATCCGTAAACATGCAAATATCAGGCTTTTCAAGTATTCTGTTCTGGATTCCCCAGAAAAATCACTGTCAAATTAATTGTTCATCTGAAAGATGAAAGGAAGCATAAAAGTCCACAAGAAAATAGAATAAAACAAAACAAAAGAAATTGTTTTTTCTAAGAAATCACATGACAAGGGTGTTGAGACATTTCCTGTTCAAAAGATGCTACAGGTCAGCTGGTGGCACTTTAAAAGAGCTGGGTGCTGCTTGGTGGGCAGAAGGGCTATCCCTGGATTTTATAACAGTAGATTACTGGGGTTGTGATCAGGAAAGAAAAGCCCCCGTATATAATGGGACTGGCCCAGATCACGACTCCCTCCTTTCTGTCCTCTCCTCCAAAGAAAAACCTATTGGAACCCCTGGGCCATGGATGAGTCCTAAGATAGTCGTACTTGGCATTGCAGTGTCTTGAATGGGGGACTCTCCCCCCGACCTGGAATGTAGCCAAGAATGCAATACAACCTTTACAAGGGGCTGGGAAAAAAAGTAATTAAAAAACAAAACAAAACAAGCACATTGTTAGTGCTCACAGAAAGAAAGTTGAACACTTGAGAGGCTTAGCCGCAGCCTCCACCAACCTCTCGGCAGTTTGCACCCTCTACAGGGTGCTGGGCTTCTGCGAGGGGCTGGGGAAGCCAATGAGAAGTGGGCTCCCGGTAGGCAGTAATGCCATCTTTTGAAGATTTTCTTTCCCTGGTCTAATGGTGTGACTATGGTCCAAAAAGAGACTTGGCAGAACCCCTGCTCTACCTTTTTACGAGTGCCTGTAGAGGTCAGGGCAAGGAGAAAGGAGCTGCCTGTCTGAGACCAGCTGTCCCGCATGGAGAATGGTGGGTTCTGTGTGCAGGGAGCATGAATGTGGCACTGCTAGGCTTTCTTGCTAGCCAAGCAGGGGTGGTTGAATAAGAAAGTGTGTGTTGGAACAATGGCTGTCTGCTGATGCAGTAATCCGGGGGGCCCCTCCACCATCTGGGTTTTTGAAAGGCTCTCCTGTCTTGCCTCCTGGATTCTAGGACGGGCACCTTTCTGGTGGGAGGTGACTCCCTTGGTTGTCTCCCTCCACACTCTGGTAGCTTGGACAAGGGGAGGGTTGGCTTTTGGAGCTCCTAATGTTCATTTCCAATGGGAAACAGACCACTCCTTTCTCTTTTTTAAAGAAACATTCTAGAGATTTGCCTCCTTCAGTAATAGGTAGAACATACTAAAAAGGACATGGGTGTCCAAGACTTAATCACCTTTCTGTAAAGAGGAGTGACCAGTTTGCTTTTGTCAGACATATTTGCCTCAAACTGTCCTATTTCACCCAATAATCCTATTATTTATCATTAAGAGAAAGTGTGGTGTGTCTGATTATCAGTTTGTTGAGCGGGAGACTCATTACAGTTTTTCAAGTCCAGCCCCTTGGTATCCACAGTGGATTGGTTCCAGAACCCCCATAGGTAGCAAAATCAGGCAATGCTCAAGTCCCTTATATAGAATGGTATTGTATTTGCGTGTAATATACACCATCCTCCCGTATGCTTTTTTTTTTTCTTTTTTTTTTGAGACAGAGCCTCAAGCTATCCCTCTGGGTAGAGTGCTGTAGCATCACAGCTCACAGCAACCTCCAACTCCTGGGCTCAAGCCAGTCTCCTGCCTCAGCCTCCCAAGTAGCTGGGACCACAGGCGCCCACCAAAGCCCCTGGCTATTTTTTGGTTGCAGCCTTCATTGTTGTTTTTTGGTGGCCCTGGGCTGGATTTGAACCTGCCACCTTAGGTATATGTGGCTGGCACCTTAGCCACTTGAGCCACAGGCACCGAGACGCTTTTTTTTTTTTTTAAGTGTATAATTTTTTTAAATTTCAGATTAATATGGGGGTACATACGATTAAGTTACATAGTTTCCTTTTGTAAAGTTAAGGTCCAGGTGGTAGTTGGGCCCTTCCCCCAGGAAGCGTGTGACGTACCCTTTGGCTGGGAATTTACTCAACCCTCCCCTGTATACTTTAAATCATTTCTAGGTCACTTATAATAAATAGTTACATTTATATGTTGAGAGAATACTGATTAGAAAAAGTCAATACATGTTTAGTATAGATAAAACCATCCCTTCTTTTTTTTCTGAATATTTTGATCTGTGGTTGGTTGACTCCCCAGGTAGCCCAGAACCCCACATGTGGAGGGAGGGCAAGCTGTACACATTTCAGGGTCCTTATTGCTCACATTGTATGGTCTTCACCCTTGGTCTTTCTGGGGTGCAGCCGGGAAGTTCTACCTACCAGTGAATCGTTTGTTCTGTGTCGATGGATGATTACGGTTCAGAATGCCAAGTGCCCAGGAGACAAATTGAGGGGGGCCAGGGGCAGTTTGCCTGCAGTGACCCCAGACCTCCCCAACTCTGTTGCTGATGATTCCAGGTGAAGCCGTTCATTTGGCTCGGGACTTTGCGTATGTCTGTGAAGCCGAATTCCCTAGCAAACCCGTGGCAGAATATTTAACCAGACCCCACCTTGGAGGACGAAATGAGATGGCAGCGAGGAAGAACATGCTGTTGGCGGCCCAGTGAGTATCCAGACTTTGACTTCAGGGGCACCAGACCCTGAAGTCGAAGATCCGGCATAGTCTTTATGGTTTGAAAAAGAAATATTCGTGAAATGAATTAGGGCGAAGCAAAAGAAAGTGGCAAGGAAATTGCTTTTACAAAGTCAGGTGCGTCCACTTGTTTATATGATTTAGACAAAGCAAGAAAAAAAGTGTGTTGCTCAGAGTACAGAGTTTTTTTGAGCTGCTTAGTTATTCAGCTCGAAATAGTTGAGCTACCCTTTCGTGAGTGTTGCATATCTTACAAAGACGTGTTGAAAACAGATTTGTTTTGTCACATCCAGTAAAGGGATGTGTGTCTTCTGCCTCCTGATAGCCAGACTGTTGTTTTTCAGATATGAGGATCAGGGTGGATGCGTAGGAGATATGTGGGCAAATTAAGCTACTTAGCGCAGCTGTGGAATTTCTCATAGACACCAACAGTAAGTCGATTTTAAAATCATGGTAAATGAAGCTGAACTAGTCAAGTCAGGAAATGGGGCAAAAGAGTACAAGGAACCGGCCTAGGTGAAGGGTGAGAGTTTTGCAGTGGGGGGATGTGATTCTCTGGGGTCCTGGCAAAACTGGTTTATTGGAACCTTAAGTATGGGCCCAGGTGAACTTAACCTCAAGGGTTGGAATCCTGGCCCCACTTTGACCAGTCCTGGTGACCTTGGCCCGTAGACTGGGGTTAATCCTGTTATCTCTTCTAATTGCCACAAGGATTAAAAAGATAGTTTGTGAAAAGAGCTTAACTCTAGGCCTGATGCATAACAGGGGCTAAGCGCAGCAGTTGGCTATTAGTATTCGTCAAAATTGTCCCTCCTTAGTTAAGGCAAAGGATCCTGACTACTTCCCAGGTGTTATCATCCGGGTAATTTGTTCTGTAAAACACTAGCTAGAGAGAACTCACTAGGGTCTGTTGACTTGTCTTCACAGGCAAGTGTGTAAGGAATTCACAGACCTTCTCAATCAAGACCGGACACCCAACGGGAACAGCAGGCCCACCCCTGTCCTGGAGACCAACATACAGAACTGCTTATCTCACTTCAGCCTGATCACCCACGGGTTTGGCAGCCAGGCCATCTGTGCTGCTGTATCCGCCCTGCAGAACTACATCAAAGAAGCCCTGATAACCATAGACAAATCCTACATGAACCCCGGAGATCAGAGTCCAGCAGATTCTAACAAAACCCTGGAGAAGATGGAGAAGCACAGGAAATAAAATAGGTGTGAACAAAGGACCCGAGAGTCAGCAAGGAGATCCTCTCAACCCAGACCTTGGCCTGGGGGAAGTTTGTTACCTACCTTACTATTGAAAAGGCCTCCCTTGGTTTCTGGATTGGCAGCGATGGTCTTGCACACCCTCCTGGATCCCTTAGTTGTTTCTCTAGCTCTGCAGTGTCTCCTAACTTTGAACATGATCAGAAGGTGACAAGTACTGGTTCTTTACTCATTAAACTTTTTTTGTTTTTTTTTTTTTAACCCTATTCTTCTTTTCTCTGAAAGTGGTGCTATAAGTTCTAGAACCTTTTTAAATAAATTCTCTGGGCTTACAACAAAAAGAATACACACATACTTCGTCATTGAAATGTCAGTGTCAAATAGAGGCCAGGCACAGTGGCTCATGCCTGAAATCCCAGCCCTCTGGGGGGCTGAGGCTGGTGGACCACCTCAGCTCAGGAGTTTGAGACCAGCCTCAGCAAGAACAAGATCCTGTCTCTAAGATTAGCTGGGTGTTGTGGCAGGCACCTGTAGTCCCAGCTGCTAGATGTGATCCAGATCAAACATAACTTTTTTCAGTGTTAAGGTAACGGCTGGTTTTTATGTCGACCATATTTAAAGTATTTATCCAGCTTCTTTGGAGATTAAATCCTCCAGAAGGAGCCAAAGGTTCTGTCTGTTTAGGAACTAGTTAATAGGTGGTATTTGACACACTTTAAAACTCGTGTTCAAAGGGGGCCTTCTGGTTTTAGCAAACATGTAGAAACAAAGCCTGCTGATTTTTTTTTTCTTTTTATTTTATTTTTTTTAACTTTGAAAGTTAACTCCTTAAGTCGGAGACTCTTTAAAATGACATGATCCTTTAAGGTATTGAAGCTTTATTTGAATATTTATTTCAGATGTTTTGAGTAAACTTGAAAAGGGTAGGCATGAAGCATTTGTTTGCTGCCTGTCATCCCCAAGTCCCCGTGGAGGCTCTGTATTTTGAGAAACAGTGCGTTGAGTGTACAGATTTTATTTATGCATAATTTAATGGGGTCTGTAAATACTGGTGCACTTCTTACGACTTTTTGAGAAATGGGATTCAATTTTAATATTAAACTTTGAACGGTGTTGGGATAATCTATAGCACATCGTAAGGTTTTATTCATATGTACACAGGGTATTAAGAATTAGGAGGATGCTGTTTTTGGAATGGAAGATTCTATTTAATTGAAGCTCTCTGTTCAGAAAGCAATAACATTGTGTCTTGTTCCTGTTGGGGTAAACCCTGAGATGAGTGTGCAGTGTGTGTGGGTGAAGTGAAGATTTGGAATTACACTCCATACCTGTAAATGTTCCCCAAGTAATTGTTGTGTGTACGATACCTGTACAATAAAAGTATTCTGGATAGAATGTGTGAAAGTCTGGTTACAAATTGAGTTTTTGAAAGGTGCAGAGCTAACTTGTGGCTCAAGTATAGTTTAGTTAACAGACGCCGCAGCCGAAGCAAGTTTCATTTTCTCTCCAACCAAGACTGTTCAACTGCCTCGGGTTCTTTCCCTATCACAAGTGTCTCTCAGCTGCACAGGAGTCATCCTCCCCACCCCAAGGGTGTTAGTAAATGTGAAAGGGACGACTTTATTGACATTGAAAGGGCCTCACATTTTGGAAGCAGTGTTTCGTGGAAGGATGCCATTGAGAGAACAGGGACATGGCTGTGTCGCCATCACAATACCATATGCTTCTCTGAATGGAAACGAAATGATTGCAGGAATTCACGGGCAGTTGTTCTTTAGGAGGACCGAGCGTTCAATCAAATGCAAGCAATGAGGTGTGGGATGGCAGTGTTTTCAACTAATCACAATTCTCCATCTTTGGAAGCATGACAGTGCTCATGGACCCAAGTCACATCGCCCGGCTGCGGGGTGAATCGGAGCTCGGGTCTTCCTCATACAATACTTGGAGCAAAGGAGTCTGGCAGGGGTTGTGTGCTCACTGGATGTTTGCAGGATCTTTGGACGTACACTGCGGGTACTTGATTTCAACTTGAAGTGGCCTGGCCTGTCCTCCAGGAAGTGATATGTTTGTAGTTTGGCGTGTGTGGCCAGGCTTCAAAGGGAAGGGGAACCATAGGATTTTCCACATTGGATAAGGCCACTGCTTGACTCTAGTCATATAATCCTTAATTCATAATTCTCCACCAAATGCTCAGCAATTCCTGACTTAATGTTGGCATTAGATGTTCTTAAGTAATTTAAACTCTGCCAGCTTAATACTTTGCACTTGGCAGCTTGTCCTTGGCCACTGAATGTTCCCATTAAGTTGGATTTATCTGGTTGATGTGTCAAGCTCACAATTGCTTTGCATTAGAGCAGCAAAAAGAGGTTGAGGTTGGCAGTTATTTCTCAATCAAGACTTGTGAATGGTGGGCGTTAGGAGGAAGTTACAGGGGCAAAGGGCTAAAGGAGAAAGGACTGCATTTTCTTATCTCTATCTTTTGGACTAGAGTCCGGCTTTTAGGAGCTGTGCTGAATTACAGTGCAGAGACAATGTTCTGGAAAGGCCCCAAAGTCAACCGAGGATTGGAGTGAGTCACAGCAGGGCTCTTTCAGCCTGGCTGTGTGCTCGCCTCCCTTTCAGCCTTGCTCCCACTGGCAGTCTGGGGGACACCACTGGGTGCTTTGGGTCGGGTGCCCAGTAACGACAGGTTTTCGGAGCTGGTGCCACGGCAAACAACCCAGTACCTTCAAGAAGACCCTACTGAAACAAGTCCCTTGCAGGTTTTCCCCCAAGCTCTTGCTTGCTTATGAAAGAAGGGGGCTCTAGCCCAGGTTGGCGTCAGGTTGGGAAACCTTTGCTTCTTATGGGCTGGTGCAGGTTGGTTTCAAGCCCCAGCCAGCCTATGGCATTGTTGCATGCCGGTTGTTAAGGCTGGTGATGGCACAGTGAAAATGCTGCTTCTGCTGTTTGCATTGGAAGACCCCGCCAGGGGTAGGAAGCACACGCTGTCTGGAAGTCTGTTCATGTGAGGGGCTTTTCAGCAGGATGGTCTGTCTGGAGACAGGAGACTTGGCCATCCAGGTACCTGGCACCTGGAAGATACTTTCCTGCCCCACAGAGGGTACACTTGTGGGTTCGCTGAAAGGTCAGAGAGAGTTATCAATAGCTGCTAATGGTTGCCTTACTGTCCGTGGGTGCACCATTTAAGCTGTGGGTTAGGAAAGGGACGGTTAGTATGTTTCTCAGGTGGAGCGATACCATGGAGCTCTTTTCGGAGGTCTCCTGTTGAAGTGAGCTTGGAGACCAAAAGTTCCTGGATTGGAAAATGTTAAAAGCCAAGGTAGGGGCCACGGGTGACTGGGAAATAAAGAGAAATGTCTCTCACTGCCCGGCAGTGGCTGGGGTTTGGGAGCCTCTTCCCCGGGGAGACCTTGGCTGGTTGAAGAGGTTACTGTTATTTCTGGGGACTTTGAGTATCTCTCTGATCTTTTTCTTTGGTAGCTCTATGTAGAGAGGTGTCATGAGGTGGCAGTTTCATTTGCCTTTCTTTATAAGTAAGTGGAGACCTTTGAAGTAGCTGTCATTGGCCCCAGTGGGAAGAGCAGTGTGAGGTTTTCACAGGTGATGGGTAGAGCAGTGACCCTTAGCAGAGTCTTCTCCAGCCAGCGGAGCTCAGTGGGTGGTAAGGGGTTTCCCCCGCTGCTGCAGATACCGGATTACTTTCGACACAGCGATGCTGCAATGCTTAATATGCTTTTCCCAAGAGCTGGTGTTGCTCTTGGATGATAGTGGTAATTGTTGACTTACCTTTTTCAGATCTTGGAATATACCTGCGTTTCGTTTCTTTTCTTTTTTTTTT